GGAGGAGGAGGAGATTTATTTAAAGAGGGACTGGACCTGAACGTTGTCTGTGTGCTTTGTTCACTCTCGAAGAATAGTAAAAGCATCTTGAGTCATGTATGAGAGCTAATTTGAGAGTTGTTAATGTGTCCATCTGTCCCTCTCCTGCCAAAGGTTGGATGGCACTGCATTTGTCCGGTAATTCCCTTGAGGGAAGCATTCGCTAAGCAGAACAGGGCAGTTAAGACTCTTTATGTTGTAGATAGCAGTTTGTCTCGAGATTAGGAAGGCATTGGCTCTCGGTGTTAAATTAGATGCAATTTATCTACAATAGCTATAGTTGTTATAAAAATCCATCATTTGTGCTGCGAAAAGCATTGGAGCCAGTCCCTTGACTTTTACCTCTGCACACTTTTTAATTTACAATTCGGCTTTAGCCTTTTTTAATATTTCACAATTATTAAATTACGAAGAATAATTCTTGCATAACCAACTTATAAAACGAAAAGATGAAAGTGTTTAACCTGTTGGAGTATCGGCGGGATCGGGTGACTGATCGCAGTTAACTGCATTTCTATTCAGTCGCATTTTTTTTTTGTATTCTGCTACTCCAAAGTAGTAGACATCTTAGAAACTACGAGATTCCCAATGGAATCCAGTGCATTTCTTGCTGACACTTTCACTATGTCAAGAGTGGGAGTATAGCACCTCAGTGTTGCCACAGCCTCGATGGCATGCCTCAAAAGCCCTGCCCCATTCTTTGAGGCCACAGGGGCTAATGGGTTGTACAAAACCCCATCCAATTCCAAAAAATCGTTGCATAATACCTAATATCAAGATAAATGTTATAAATAAAGGACCGAGGTGCAAAGAATCAGCTATTTAAGGCTGGGGATTTTGCGGCGCCTGTAACTACGCAGTTGATTAAAGCCCCGTAAAAATAAAGTTGAATGATAGGACTTAATTTTGCTCATGGAGCATTTAGTAAGTTGTGAAGCTTTAGTTTCTTCTCAAAATTGATTCAGCCCAATCCCCATTAGCGTCGCACATATGTGACGCCCCGATATATCCGGTACTGGCGTTGCAAATACGCGCCGTATTCTTTATCCGCGCACGCTAGCTGTAAATGCACAGAATTATTTAAGGGAAAATAAAACTAAAACGGAAGTGGGATTTTTTTACGGCAGAAAAGACACCACTCACTAGGGCAATCCAACTCTAATTGAAGGCGAACACGTCAGGTGGTAGTGCCTAATGAGGAGGGCCGATGTATTTTAGCTGGCGTCTTTATTGGTTGAACACTCGATTAGTGACGGGACAACAAAATCTAATGACACGCAATCACCTGCATATGTTTGTCGCTTACTGCGTAAGTGTGAAGCAGGAAGGAGGAAATTCAATTGAAATCCATTTTTCGATAACTGATACACAAAATGTTTGTAATTTTTGCATGTTGTACGCATCAATTACCCGTCCGCCCCCACACCTCCGCCTGCTAGCTCCGAGAATCAACTGTTAGCGAGAGCGCTGCATTGCCACACATTCCGCTCGATCAGCTCCCTGACATGCCTGCGCAGGCTAGGTTATGGGTAGAGATTCGCGAGGCATAACCCTTCCTTGTCTCGGAGCCAATCAAAGCAGTGAGAGAATATCTAATAGTGTGAAATTTTCGGATATCTTTACAGATGGCTTTATTTCAAAAGTCAATTCTCTGCGAAACTCTGGCTTAAATGAAGTTAGGATAACAGGATGCGCTTCCAACTGCTTCATTTGTTGAAACAATGAGTGAAAGTAATGCGTCCTCGCAATAATAACCAAGGTAAATTAAACGGGTAAACAATTTTGTTTATTTTACGAGATGTAGCTTTCTAAACTGGAAAATTTATGCGGCTCTTGCATCACCATAAACAAAGATTGTGAAGCAATGGATTTACTTGCGGTGATGAGATGCACCGGTGGTGGTCCTGCAGTCCATTTCTGTTTAATGGAATAATGCAATCATTTCATGGATTTTTAAAAGTGTGTATAACACTATAATCTGGCCATGAAGCATCCACCCGCCCATCTGCCCACTTCTGCCCTAATGTTAAGGGAAAACAACCCGCATTTTCACTCGAGTAACAAATAGGCATCCCCGTTCGGAGCATCGCACACGTTCCATCAGAGTCACAAATATGCGATATGTCCTCCCTGCCCTTTCAGTTTGTCATAATCCTGTGGCACAAAGAAGTTGATTGAAGTTAAGAGGAATGAGATAGACACAAAGTATTCAAGGCTGGTGGATAATCGCAGATTTCATTTTTGTTTTCGAGCAACAAATGAAGTGGGCAAACAATTTATCTGTAATACGATAGTGGTTTATCCCTTGGGTGGGCTGACCTTTCGGGCCATGCCAATAGCCCAGACACCTTCTCTGGGCTGAATATATATTCTGCCCGAGTATTGTGTCTTCTTTCGTCTTCAGGGAAGTCTCGGGACGCTACATATCAACAAGTAGCATCATGCTAAAATGGGAATCTTCGGATTGTAGTGATCACTTGCCTTCTAAGCCTCTTTTTCCCTCCCACCATGGCAGCGAATGTTTCAATTAGATCCAGTTCCTTGGACTGTGGTTAAAATAAGTAAATATAAAATCCGGATTTGTTGTGACATCATCAAATTCTGCATCATCTTTTTGCATAAACCGTCGAAAAATAGGCAGAAAAATATTGCCTAGATTTTGTGAAAACAAAATAAACGGCAAAGCTGGTTTGATCTGGATCATAACAATAGTTTCGCTCGCTTGATAAGGGAGGTGTTTTTCACCAACCTCCCGTTTCCCTTTCCCTCAGTATAGACTCTAAGATGTCTGTTCACTTCCAAACTTTACTATATTTGTGCAATTAAAAAAACCTAGAAGTTAAAATTGTTTAATTAGTGCAAATGAAGTTGGAACTCCTCGTTGCTAAGGCCAGCAGATGTCATACATGCCGATTTTGTCAGTTCTCAATGCAATTTAAGTACACTCCGAAGATTGATGGGGATGTTCCCATTTATAATTAAATATACGTCTTGCGAGGTGGTGTCATGCTACAAGTAATATTTCTTTGTTTGAACTACTTCTTTATAGGTCTCATGCTAATGGAAACCAAAATCCTCCGCGCATGTATCGTGGTAAGACAAAAATGTGGAAAATGCAAGGGTTGGTGTAATGGAACATTATAAATTGGGGGCTACTTTCTTCCTACTGAACTTCTGTTAGTCCCAAAATTATGAGATTTTAGAATGCACCAATAAATTGGTAGATGCGACAAAGACCTTCAAATTCCGTGCTCAAATCTCAAAGGAAGATGTGTGAATTAAGTATTTTTCACCACTATGAGTGGGAAACGGTGTTATCTGTGACTCAGTGATCCAAGTTGGCAGTTTAGAGCGCGAATCTCTACATCTGAGGTGAGTGCTCAAATGCCTGAGCACGGCGTGTGTGCGCGTGGTGTGTGTGTCAGCAGTTCAGTGGGTGCCCACACACCAGGCATTATTCCTTTCGCTGGGCTCACAACTACACACACGCTAGCGTTGACACTCAGAAGACCTCCATTGCTAGCAACATGCTCAATCTGCAACGCTCGGACTCATCAGCAGAGTCGAGAAAGTACTCATTCGAGGAGGAGGCGATCTATTCGCATTCACCGGGGGCGCGACAAGACCGTCGACGGGTGACCTACACGTATGAGAATAACCAGCTGCTGGAGGACGGTCAGCCTGTGAAAGCCACCATCCACTGCTCTGAGATGACCCCCGAAATGGAGGCCTGGGCAGTGGACTGCGCTGCCATTGCCCTGATCAACCGCGCCTCTATCAAACAGGCCGCTGCTTACATCAAGAAGGAGTTCGATAAGAAATTCGGACCCTCCTGGCAGTGTGTCGTTGGATCTAACTATGGGAGGTGAGTGTATACCTTCTCCTGAGATTGATATTTAGCAAAATTTTTAATCTTCCTTTCAGTCGCAAGTCTGCGATTATATTACCCCAAAAATTGCTTTATGTAGGTGAAATCACTGCAACTTATGCCTAAAAGAAATATGACTACTCTTACACAAAGGTATGGTTTGTGAAACTTAACGCCTAAGGTTTCCAACAGTCAAAAGCGAAAACAGGAACACGAGACGTAAACACCACCACATGGAATGTACATGGATATGTAACCAAAGGGAGTGTCCTCCTCTATCACATCAAATGGGGTGAATTTTCGCTTTTTTCAGAGCTGGTTGGTTGCTTTTTGGATTGGAAGTCGATTAACAGGTTTGATAGGTTTATTAATCACTTTTTTTATCAGTGATATCATTTCCGAGATTTTAATAGCACATTTCAGGTGTCTATCTCATTTTTTTTACTCGTCGCCCTTTTTTCCTCATATTTAGTGGCCAACCCCTTCAGTTGACTAAAAAACATATTTTTCGAGCAAAAGAAAGGTCTTGCTATGCAGAAGATAGTATCTTTCTCGCTGAAATCCAAATTTTCTGAATCTAATCGTTAAAAATTTAGTGAAGTGCCTGTTATGCCCATAAGGAAGACAGCATCGGTAACGCTCTCTGATTTCGATTCCTTTGACTTGCATCCTGGTATCTTGTATGCTATGTGGAAGGACACACAATTTCTGCACTTGAGAGTGTGGATATGGTGAGTGGTAACTTGTGTTATGGCGAAAACGGAGGTATAAATCCAAAAGTAGGCACACAAGTCAACATCACATTAGTGAACTCGGTCTAGAGTTAACGAACAAAAATTCCAGTGTAGTAATTTGCCTGATGACTCGCTTATTAGCGTTGCAAATTTATCCGTTACCTCCCCATCCCGGTCACGTCAGAAGCCATGGCAATAGCATAAACACGTTGTCCAAATAATGACACAGGTACTATCAAGGTGCTTTGCGTGCTAAACAATGCCTGAAACTGCAGGTCAATAATCGCGTCGGAGACAATGGCTAATGTGTAAGAAGAGGGTGTTCTGTGGGGCGCTGCACACAGCTTGCGTTAGCACGTCTTCCATCTGTAATCCTTCCAGGTCTGTTGAACACTTTCTATTTTTCTTCATCTTCCAGTTGCCTTAATGCTGCATTGCATCACTTTTGAAAGTGAGTGTATGGAACTCTACAACCTGGACTATCATCAAGGCATACGCCCTGTCTAATACTTTTCTCAATTCATGTGACGGTGATGTCAATCCCTACTACTTTAGTTAAGATTTCTCTAAAAACTTGCAAAGACTATTCATCTTGGTGCTTACTCACTTGCACTTGCCTTAGGCCACTAAATGGCACCATATCTTGTTTACACGCATGGAATTTCCCCCATACCCCCAGGAGGTCACATATCTAGGCAACCCAGACGCTAAATTGGTTAGGCCTGACCCATTTGCAAGTTTGAACGCGTTTTTTTGGCAACTTTAAATTGAAATTATGTACTATTCTTTCTCTATGGTTGTTTGCTGGGTCACTTGAATTAGAGCACACTGAGTACCCTCCACCTTAGAAAAGTTCCTCAAGAAAGAGCATTTACGTGAGGTGAATGTTCATGCTGGTACTGAAAAGTGTGACGAATGGCATACTTTCTTGCCTTAAGGGTTCTCTTACACCACTGCCTTTTACGGTATCAATGCAAGCTAAAAGTTTGGGACTTTCCAAGTTAGTTAGCTGTTTCATGGCCTTCACTTTTTGACTCCAAGTCTTTAAAGTCGTAAGCAAGGAGTATCGTAAGTCACATGTTAAGTGAATCAAGGTCGCTAAAACTTGAATGATGGATACATGCGGCTGCCAAAATTGCACATATGTGTTGCAGCATCGTGCAGGTGACTCATTTTCGGTATCCGATATGAGCTGTCATTATCAAGTTTCCGGATTTAGGGTCCCTTAAGTATGAAAAGTGGTGCCGGTGGTTTACATGTGTCAGACGATCCTTGAGCAAACAAACGCTCTATGTGCTGATAGGATACCAGTCATTCATAGCAATGTAAATGATTAATTTGCCAATTGAATCTGTCTATCAAAATACGCGCGTATTTTAGCACTTTGTATTGCTGCATTATCGAGCAGCAACGTGGCTTGTAAATGCTCCGATGACTACTACTTGCAAAGGAATGATGTAAAATGGGTGGTTATTTAATCATTGATGGGAAGCTCCTCTGGTGCCTGCATTAAGGTATGCTTCTATTACAATTCAGCAATTCCTTGACATACGCATTTCATCTGGCCTCCTGTTCACCTCGTAGAGCGGTTAGATCACAATTTGGTATTCACCTCCTGAGAAATATAATAAATATTGGACTAAGACTTCATGATCAATTATCGCCGGTCGCCTAACACAACAAAAGTTCTCATCTTTTCTCCCTTTGTTACATTTATCTGCTCAGTACTTGATTCTTAGGATTTAAGCACTTAGAAAATTTCCTGCCAATTTGTATTCACAATCCTTTAGCACATTCTTCTGTATTCCTGCCGTAACTAGATTTCTCCTAGCGTGCACAAGAGATGACCTTGCAGATGCCAAATAAAAGTGGTGTTGGTAGCATTTACGCCAGAGTTCATTGGCACTGGTTTGGAAGCGTTTTATTCCGTGTACTCACTTAAGGGCCTGTCAATGCGAAAGCACCACTAGCCAACAATGACCATTAGAAACACAGGCGTAATCGAAAATTCATCCCATAACCCAGTTCGTGTCTTAATTTCGTCAAAAAATGATGTTAAGAATGACAGACATGAAAATGTGGCACTTTATGGGAAATCGTCTCCCATTAAAGTCAGTGACTTGGTGTATAATCTCTTCGTTTTTCTGATGCAAAGGGCAAAATTTTAATAGCACAACATTTTGCACTCCAGCTAGAGTGGAATGATATTTTCGAACAGTAAAATTTTATAAAGGAGTTGGAGACACGGATACTTACAGGGCCGCCTATCGAAAGAACTTGCAAAACTTAGCCTACTTATGAGGAGATGCTAAGACAGTAGTACTGTCGCCATAGGCGGAATGTTTTCCTCCAACCTCCTATTTAAGCTTCTTCCTCTTGAGTGATGCTTGGTCACAAGCACTTAAGTCAAATGATCAATTGCTTGGAGAACTGCATTCCAATATGAACGTGTTTTAACATAAGATCATTATTACTGTGACTGAGAACTGACCAATTCTTGCCTACTGTGGCTAGCTGCTACTCGAATCCTACAACTGAATTGATTTCTCCATATCGGGTCGCAGACTTCTCTAATGTACCTCAGTAATCAATCATCATACGTCTGATCTACGCTTCTGTGATGTCAAAAACATACGGGTAGCACGCATTGGCGCGCCATTTTGGGCTCATTGAAGAGCGCAACGAAACTTACAATTACGACTCCAAAAGTAACTCCTTGAGCCCATAGGGATTTATAGCTTGATCACATTTAGTCTGCAATCATGATCGCGGGTTAAAGCGAAAAATTCGTCTAACTTTCTACTGGACGGCGACCCAGCCATAAAGTTGTCTTCTCTGACCATCCCTCAAACGCGGCGTGGTGGGTTAATGTTTACCTGAGTTGTGGACCAAAGTACTTCCGGACGTATTGTGGGATAAAGCATGACATCACCGCCCACACACACTAAACTAGATGTTTGGGTAACGCGCTTAACAATCAAACCCTCGGTGCGTGTTACACCAATCAAAGCCGAATACCTCCAGTTTGGCCGCCTACAAACACACGCAGGCATTTCGGACACCGGTCCGCATGAGTCATCCTCGTGGTGTGGTCCTGCCTCCTCCATCCACCCACCTGGCCTCGCATCTCCTCAACAAGTGAAGTCCCATGCATGATTTTTGGAGGTGTGTGGTATTTCACGTGATTGTCAATGCAGTGATGGACAAGTGACACCAACAGTGTAGACATAAAGATGATTCTAAAGCGAACTCAAGGTTACTTTTGGCCCTTTAAGTTTCGTACAGAAGTACAGCAGGATATTTAAAGATGGACGGATCTCTATTTCACCAAAAAATCGGTTAATTTTAGCAGTCGAATCACTACTGGATGGGCAATATCGCCTCACAGAATAGGGTCAAAACACTTGAACATAAAACAGCTATCTAATTGCCGGGAGTAGACAAATGCGCAGCAAGTAAGCAGATCGTCTTTTGACGGGATTGCTTACCATCAACCCCAAACTCCCAGCCATTTGAGCCATCGCGGTCAAGATTGACGCACTCAAAGGTTACAAAGTGGCAGCCTTTAGGCGTCCTACTTTTTTTGCAGACACGGTTAAAAAAACCTTTACACCTCCACAGTTTATTACTGCATGTTTTACGATGTTACGTAGCTAGTCAGATAAAAGTGCGCTCTTTTTTAGCATTTTGAGTGCAAAAAAAGAACGGAGGAGGCGGCTTCATCTTCTCCTGTTGGTATGAGCTCTAAACGCACTAAATTTGTCTGCAGGCAAAATACTAGTTGGTTTTACTTGGGTGTGTTATAACCAACCCAACTGCTGCAATTTGGACCAAATTAACAGCCGAGTGGAGAATCAGGCACTATACAATCTCGAAGCCCAAGTTATCACTTCTTTCTCCTTCTCTCTTTCAGCTACGTGTCTCACTTCGAAGGTTCCTTCATCTACTTCCTTCTCAAGAATTTCACGGTGCTACTCTACCAAATATGAAGGATCAATGACGCACACGGCAACATTGTGTTTTTATGGGACAATCACTTCGAGTTCACACCTCCGCCTCCTTTGCCTTCGTCTCTACCATCTCATCTCAATTAATTGACCTCGTCTTGTCTTCAGAGTTTTCTTTCAACTCCTTGTTTAACACTTCAGCGCCTTGATCTCAAAAAAACGAAGTGGTGGGTTCTTCACAGGAACATAATAGGATTTCGCCATTATTGTGGCTAGCGCTTCTGACCTGTCCCCAGTTAGATTTCAGTCATCCTTGGGTCATCTTATTGGGGGGAGACTGAAGAATTAAGGGAGCATCAGTCGGTGTGCCGTTCGGCCGGACTCTCAGGGCTGCAGATGCTCAACCATCAAATGACCTGAGCCGATCATTCCATTTCTAGTTGGGAAAGATGTGCGAAATACTGGCAGTTCCATTGTTTGGGAAATTAAGTCCCCGGTCTAGAGCGTGGGATTCCGTTCAGTACAGGAGTAAAGTATCGCATTCAGACCACAAAAATGGGAATTTTGCTAACCGTGCAAGTCTGTGAACAAACGTAGTTTTAGTACAACCTCCCAAATGTGTCGAGATGACAATAAGCAGGAATTTGTACTTGCCCAAAAGTTCATGGCTTTTTGAGGTTCAAGCAATTAAAGTTCCAGTCGATTTTCATGGGAGAGACGTTTGAAGTAAGCATGTTACTTTACCTCCTGATAATTTGAGGCTAACCAGTTAGTGACTAACATTACCGAACCGCCCGATCAAAAATCCCGTCCATTCCAGTGAGCCAAAATGAACAACTTGTTCGTACCGATGGCGACAGAAATCGAGCTTGTCGTGGAGTATCTTCCTTGTTATGCCTCTGGAGAGCAGAAATAAACCTCCACATTAAGCAGATGCTTGGTCGTCTCACTTCGTACCCACTATATCAGTTTAACCACACTGTCCAACTTTCACTGGCTTTATGAATTCCCGAAAGGCAAGTAAGCACCATAGTACAACCTCAAACCACAACCATGCATTGCCCAAATGCAATTTTGGATCTCCCTGGAGGAATGCAAACTCAGCCGCCCAATGAGGGTGGTGACAAGTAGTAGCTGCCACTTCGGAGGCAAGATGGGTCCTGCGACCGTACGCTGAAAAAGCACAGATACAGGAATTCAGAACCCCGGAGACTGGTAGGTGTGCGTGTGTGTGCACTCACGTTCGCACGCGGGTACGCACCAATCAGAGGCTTAGACATCCAGTCAAATCGACCAGTGCATAGTGGGGCAGACACACCAATAGGTGTGTACGGACACACAAACTCACGGCCACGCACACACACACGTTGGCTGCGTGCACGTTATTTGGGTTTTCGTCTTGGGCGTGTCGTGGTCGTCGTCGTTGGAGTTGCGATTGATTGATAATTTTGAAGGAATCATGACTGAACGCAAGGCTGTCATCAAGAATGCCGATATGAGCGAGGAGATGCAACAGGATGCTGTCGCTGTGGCCGGTCAGGCTCTGGAGAAGTTCAACATCGAGAAGGATATTGCCGCCTACATTAAAAAGGAGTTTGATAAGAAACACTCCCCTACCTGGCACTGCATCGTGGGACGAAACTTTGGGAGGTAAAACTGATCCCTAATCATCCAACTTCATTATAAAACTAGCTAGTACAGTAACTTAAGTTCGATTCAATTTACTCTATCCCTGTCCATGAGAGAATGTCTTAGATTACTTTGGTCTCATTTTCTTATCAGCACTCGTTTGATTTTTATTGCTGCTTCCTTCTAATCCAGAGGCTCTTGCCAGCTCTGCGTGAAGACTAGTTCATAGTCAACTTAAGCATAGGCTCCGGAATGTTCGAATATGGTCAAAGTTCCGTCTCTCAGCCATTGTTTTTATCTATCTGTTAATATTCCCGTCTCACCTCTGGTTTAATTCGATGTGATATGTATTAGTCTGCGGATCGCTTACTGGTACCTTACCAAAACGTGATAACCTTGCTTCGCTAATGCCTCCGTGACCACGAGCGCGTGAATGAGTTGTATAATTCCCCCATAGCATAGATTCCGCAGTTTTTTCCAGTTCGGCTGAATAGACGAATCAGATGGTGACACACTGCGTTGGTTCGTCCCTCATGTCTTATTAAAGACAATTTTCCGAAAACCTCTATCTGCACTCCTGGATTTTGTGAGTCCATGACTTGCCTGACAGCGGTGGTCTCCCAGTCGCGTGTTCAGCCTGCCCAGTTGGGGTAATCGCATCTCCCTGTGGGAGTGACATGATACGCGGAGCCTGCTCAACTCCTTTACTCCAGATGGGCCATTCGACGCAATGCGCAACATGCATGCCTCCTGGAATGTTAACTTTCAAGTGTGGACATTTTTGGGTCTGCTCTAATCGTCCTACTGTGGCGGAAGTCAGTCGGTGTCCACAATTCAAGCGCTTTACGTAGAGTTTGTACTGGTGCTAGATTTGTTCAAATGATGTTGATAAGGCGTGCTGGGTTTGTTTTGATAGTGTAGTAGTCGCGCTCTTGCGTGGATGGTGGCCTAGCCTAGACCACTCTATATGCGTAATTTCGGCGGGCTTGTTCACGGTGTTTGTGTTTTGACAGATATACGTGACGCTGGAGTCGTGCGATAGCTTGAGCTACTGGTCCCACCTCTTCAACAGTTTGATCAGATTTTCGTGCGGATTTTAATGCTAATTCAGTCTGTATCACTTTTCTGTCATTTTGAGTTGGTTTCTTATTGTTTTCCATTCGTGGACCAAACCTTGGTAGGCACTCATTCTCGAACTTTCGGTGCCGTTCTAAATTTTTCTTTGCATTGAGGATTACTTATAATGCTATCAATCGGGGTCGGTTTGTACGTTTCCTACGTGTTTTTTTTCTACTTGTTGAAATGAGTTTAGCTTCAGGAGTCAGTCTCTCTAGCTTTCCACAATCTGGTGTAAGTTTCGAGTCTCTAGGTGGGGTATGCTATCGGTAATTTTGTGAGAGTCCGTTGCTGATAATGAAGGCTATGTGCTGTGCGGTCGGCCGTAGCTTTCGCTGTTTTTGAGTGCCCACCTACCCGTCATTTATTCGTGTGTTATGCTAATGGCGCAGATAGTGTGCATATGCAAACGAGCGTTCCTTAGCCACGGCGCAATTCACAAGTAAACAACCTTTCTTTGGCAGCCTTGTGTGAGTGCCGCCAGTAATATGTCTTCCTTCATTCCTGTACACAGCTACGTGACCCACGAAACGCAACATTTCATCTACTTCTACCTGGGGCAAGTGGCAATTCTTCTCTTCAAGTCGGGCTAGGGCGAGATGGCGGAGTCAAATGTGCGCACACTCCTTACTACTACATCTATTTGTGTATGTGTGAATATGTCTGTTTCCGTGATGACCAACGGGAAGGCCCCTTCCTCTCTATTCTACCACTACCAACACAACCTGCCCCACCCCCCCATTCCTCTTTTTCCTGTGTTCACATGCACGAATTCGCATTTCCACTTTTTCAAACGGAACTGAGTGTGACAACAAGTCTCTCCTTTTTGTCACTACTTTGACAGGGATTAGAGACGCCTATTGGGCGGCTGCCCAGGCTGCTGGATGGCCACTTTTGTTCGGCCGGGGACTCTCCCCTCTCGCCGGGTGCTTGTCTGAACTGCACGTCTGAGACGGATTAAAGGATGAGTGGACTTGAGACGGGTTATTTCGTGAGTGACTAGTCCGCGGCCGGTGGGCGTTTTTATCAGGCAGGTGAGTGGACGGAGGACTGATAGCTAGATGCGGGCTACTTGCAGGTGTCAGGTTTGCATTGGAGAGTGGGGGGGTGGGGGGTGGGTCTCCTTGGTTCGTCGTTTGCAGCTATTTCGCTTCTCTCACAGGGCACCTAAGATGATGCAGAAAATCGCATTATGGAGGTAAGCCGGAACGGCACAAAGTCTTTGTTCGTGCCCTGGCTGTCGTTTGGACGGAACGGTCAACTTTAAAGGGGAGAAAGCTGCAGCTTAGCCCATTGTTAGCGATGGGTATCATTTTAGGATTCCGCCGCCCAGGTGTGAATGTACCAATGATTAACTTATTACTGTATTTGGTGTGTCGACGACTCATGACTCGCTGGGTGTGTGGGACACGACGTTATCACTTATGACCGGCGATAGTTCTCTGGCTGTTTGTCACCCTTTAAGCAACTTGGGACGTCGCAGTCAATAAATTTGTCTGTAGGCTATGGACAACCTACATCAGAAGAGCGGTACCTTCTATTCCATGGATTTAGCAACGAATAGCAATTGGAAGATTGAAGTATTCGACTAGTCCTGTGTTCAAAGTGTGTGATTCTCAAAAGAGGAGTCGATGGTAGCTCGATACTTACGATTTACTGGTAGGAGCAGTGCGGAAATAAGAAGGGTGGTGACTGTTCCACAAATAAAGGAACACGAAAACAATAAACACATTGAGGAAGCAGGACGAATTTGCTATATTTTAATCATCCTCCCCACGAGTAAATCGCTACTACTACCTGGCTATACTAGGACATAGGAGTGCTACTGACGATTGGACTGCCACATGATGCGTTTAGCAACCGCCACCCCAATGTTGCTTCGTTACGCACCAACTCTGTTATCCTACTGGAATAGATCCTACAGTAAAATCTGCTAGGGTCTGCCGAGACCCATGCGTGGCTGCTGCGCGGCGAAATCGGTTGACCAAGGTCGCTCCTTTGTGATTGGTCAGCTTGAGTGCGGAGTCATGTGATTGGAGAAGAGGCTACTATAGCTTGGTTAATACTGCCAGATCTCGTTGGAGGCAAAAATGGGCAGGTGTTTACTTATTTCGAATTAATGGCCAAACTGAGTACAGAATCAAAACGCACTGCGGAAATAAGGTAGGTAATTGGGTGGGAGGTTTCTGAAGAAGTTATTTAACTCCCCCTTGATTGCTTTCATTTTGTGTGGCAAGGAATTCACGATCGTTCTGATAGTGGTAACCACGACATTGATCGCATACGGGTTAACTTTGGCGTTATTGGGTTATTGAGATTCTCTAAAGTTACACGGTCTTCAGGTAGACGGAAGCACCATACATTCTCATAGGGCACCGTTTTAAAAGTACACAATGTGTGGACAGTCCTGTGATGCACATTAACTATGCGCATAATATTATACCAACTACCATAGGTACCCTGATGTTCACTGCCGCCTTAAAGAAACAGTGCTCGTGACTCCGAGTGAGTGTTAACGATAGAGGTCTGTAAAGTGGCGTTCTTGTGGCGCAGATGTCCGTTCACGACACCTACGTCGCAGGTCTCCCAACCTCTCTATAGGCTTACTATGGGGCTAATTACACCTTATTATTGTAGCCTCTTCAGGAATAACTTGGGTGCTACGGTACTAATGCGACACGGAGGGAGCGATTCATTTTACCCCACCCGTCAACTCACTAGAATACATTGGTGCGATATTTTGCTGGAACTGTGGCAAAACATTATGAATATAGACAGATGATCCCGGTTTTTCAAATTCTACTCAAATCAATCAGCACCAGCCCTGGAAGATGTAAAACAGGCGCACAGTAACTTTTTTGGTTCCTTCTCTTAACTGCTGCAACAGTGAAGAGGCAACGGCGGTGGTTTTGGGGATTGTGGTTGAGAAGAAGGGAAGTAGACGGGGCAAGAAAATTCACAACAAAAATACAGAGGGAAGCGAGAGTACCAATTTTGGAGTCAAGACATAGAGATTGAGGAGAACATGAATTTTGTACAGCCGGCACCGATATTGCAAAGCGGAGTGGAGGGTGGGTTGTGGATCGGTAGAGTGAATAGGAGGAAAAAAGAAGACACACACGAGCGGGAGAAAGGGAAAATGCAGGGTGCTGATCACTTTATTACCGGTGTTATACGGGTAGGGCGTGTGCGTCGGTGGACAGAAAACAGAGCACGCGGGGCAAGTTACCGCTTGAAGGCGTGGTAGCGAGAGACGTCGGTGGCGTACAGCTGATCGATGCCGATAGGTGCGCCCTCGACGGCGCCGCTGAATAGGACCGCGCCCGGCTGCACGCTCACTTCAGCGTCGTGCGAGGTCGGCGTGGGCAGCTGCACATCTCGAATTGGCAGCATCGAGGTCAGCTGTGTGCGCAACTGGATCACCATCTCACCCCTGTAACTACGCGACTGCAACGAGGAAGACAGGCGGTTACCACTCGTCTTACATTAAGTGGTGTGCCTAGTTTACTCGTCACCTTAGGATCGTACACCATGCACGCTTCTAGGCCTTCGGTTCAGCATCTTAGCCACTTTAGAGGGAGCACATCATTTAAACGTGTATGGTCACGCATTGTGACTACTCAAAAAACCTGTTCCTCCTTTCTTGTCGTAGGAGATATGATCAGCTTATTTCCACGAGATTGAGGCACCCTCATGCTTGTGCGGTAATTAGTCCTTCACACTGAGGGTGCGAGTTCTTTTTTGATTATCGAAGTTGGCATTTTCGCAGCCCTTTTATGATAATGCTACTCATAAACTGGTATAACTAAGGTCTACAGGGGTAGCTGGAGTGTCACAAAATGGGCTCGCACCCGTAAACACCAATCAGATAAACGACCTGGATCTACCCACAGCCATATCTAGCCGTCCATATCCATAAAATATCGCACTTTGTCTTCAAATAGAGCTTCAACTCGGTAGTTTTGGGCTTCTTCCTCACCTCCGGACCTTATGGGTATGCAAAACCCATTTTAACGGTGGGGTAAGTACGGGTTGTGGTAATTTGATATTCAACATCCGCTGAGATAACCGAATTCGCGGAGGGTCACAATAGAAGGACTTTCGAAGGCACGTTGCCTTTCGGCAATTACTCCAGTCTCGAGCATACCACAAACATCATTTGTTCATAAAAGAATTGCTTATGACATTGCAATAAACACAGCAATTGGTGTTTACGATCTGAGGACACTATGCCCCCATACGACCGACATACGGAATGTGCAAACTGTAGACTATTATCCAGCGAATCACCATCCCATGCAGTTAATTTAACGGAGGGAGAGATAATCAGGGACCTCCTTTAAATTCACCACTAATGGCCTAGAACGAATACACCATAGGATCCTCCTTCCTATTTCGTGGTTAGTCAAAAAGCATTTATTTGTGACGGCCGGATCAGAGCCCTCAGCAAGGGGAGCGTGAGGACCGACGCTCCAATAAGAACTGCCTACTTAGCCATGCGTGATGATTACACAGGATCTTCCCGACCCGCACAATTAAACTCGTACACTGTGCTTAGGCGGCTAAGCTAATGGCCTCACAATATACATGAATACAAACAGAAAGGCTACTTCCAGACCTCATAATTTACTTGGGGATGACTGAGTTGAATGGGTTTTGAACATTGTCCAGGGCATGGCATTACTTCCCCAACAGTTTAATCAATCCATTTCATTGAAGAAGAACCATAAAGAACTTCGCTAATGCTAGTGAAACTAAAGAACAAATTAATATCCACTGAACCGTATTACCATGGAGCAAGACGAAGCAGGGATAGTAATTAGGAGCGCTGGGGAGGGCGCTCTACTGGCGCGGCGAAAGCTGTCCCGCCTAAATTATGCATGACACCTATAACACTGCGGCCCTCACGCGGGAGGTACATGGTTCAGCGCTCCCAGCCTTCGTTCAGTGCTTCATGTTGGTAATACTAACTTAAAACAGGAATTCTCATTGCTTATGGCTTTGCCAGAGATGACTCCCACGTCAGGTACTGAAGCAAATGGGTCACTTCAAGTGTGGAAAAAAACGAGAAATGCAGCCAATGGAAGTGATCCATCTGAGGCGAACGCAAATGAGCTCTTTTCCTCGGTTTTACATGCTAACAGAAGGCCTACCGAGCAGGAGTTCTCCAGGACATCGATAACCACGAGGACAGAGTCGGTAGTGTTGAGGCTGAGCGCCTGGTTGCCATCCCCGAGCAAAATGACCTTGTCACCGGGGTCGTAATAGCGGCATCCAATCACCAACTTCTGCAAAGCTGTCTCGCTTGACAGCTGTAGATGCGCCAACTGATCCTTGGTGATGTGATAGGGAAATTCCTGAAAGAAATGTGGGAAAATCAGTTAGTCGAATCATATTATGCTACAGATCAGATATTTAGTCTTCTAATCTCATAGCAACACTTCAACCGAGTCAAACTATTTAAATGCTGGTAAAAATTATTTAAAAATGTATTTAAACTCAGGCCAAGAATATCTTCCATAAGTTTTAGTGCTTTAAACTTAATGCGTCCGTTTAATACACATGAGCAGGTGTATGAAGGTCAGGACGTCACATATATGCGACGTTAGCGTCGAACGTGTTAGGTACTAGGCTTGAGGAGCCACAATTCCTGAATTTTAACTTCCGAAATTCCTAAAATGTGTAAAAATAGTAGCATAAGTTTATTCCACGCCATCAGCGCATAAGGCCCTAAAATGCTGATTTCATGAAATACCTAATTTGTATACCCCTGTTCCTAAAAACCTAATTTGCAGAGTTCTGGGCGTTCTGCGACACTGTAGAACTGCCTAATTGGCATACCTATGTCAAATTGCTCATCGAGTTGTTTTTCATAGAGCAAATTTTGCAAAAGCAAGCCGCATTTAAGCTCAACACGGACGGTTCGAAACGTCAATTAAGCACTTGCTTGTCAAGACTGCGGCTGGTGACACAAGAGTATAGTGTGATGCTTGATCTGGTACTTTTAAGAATGTATTTCTGGGAAATTAGGATCTGAGCATTGAGAAACTAAGCGGTAGCTCCGAGCTCAAATTGGGATGTTGATTAACCGCACATTTAACAGGCGACAATCAACTGTGACTCCTTTCATTTCGGCCCACAATTTCATCTGTAGGAGTTCGGTAAGACGATTAAATCATTATCGTGAATTTCTGGTGCGAAACAAAGGCAACTTGATCCGGCACAAAAAAGGCAAGTAAA